ACATACATATAATATACATATATATACTATATATAATATACATATAATATACAATATATAATATACATATACACATACATATAATATACATATATATACTATATATAATATACATATAATATACAATATATAATATACATATACACATACATATAATATACATATATATACTATATATAATATACATATAATATACAATATATAATATACATATACACATACATATAATATACATATATATACTATATATAATATACATATAATATACAATATATAATATACATATACACATATAATACATATATATACACATATATATATATATATATATATACACATATACATACACACACACACACACATATGTATACACACAATTTTACCATTATGCATTTATCTTACAAATACAACAATAAGTATTTTGTTACAAAACTATACACTAAGATTGTGTATACATGCATCTGATGCAGGTGTGCAGGTACGTTACCCCACTGTTCTTGTAGTTCATTCAGGTTGTCCAATACTCTCTGGTGATAGAGTCTCTCTAGCTGGATGCACCATAATGCCCGCTGGTCTGAACATCAAAGGTTAAGAGAAACATAAATACAAACACACAGAGTACAAAAAGCCCTACAGGGTACGGTTTGCTTTTAAAAAAAATTAAATAAAACTCAACTCAACTCTAAAAAAAAAAAACTACTTTTTTCTGCATTACAGTGGTCAGATGTAAAGGGAGAAAAGAAAGTGAGACTGATGAAATTGGAGGACGAAGACAGAGGGAGGCAGGAGGGGGGGGGGGGGGGAGGCCAGAGATAAAGGGAAAAGCACTCCAGGATGCAGTCTCTCATGTTTATGGATATGAGCAGCGAGAACACAATCCGTCTTTGGCATGGCTAAATGCTCTCTCTCTCTCTCTCTCTCTCACCCCCTATGCATGCATGGCATAGCTAAGCTAGCTCTCCCTTCTCTTTGACTCTTTTGTTTCTTCCCTTCCACTGTGTCTCTTTCCTCTGATTAAATCTGTCAAAAATTCCAATTATTTTTCATGCTCGCTTTCTTGTATTTCTTCCTCCCTTTCACCTACTTTGTCTCATACTTATATCTTTATTGACTTTAAGTGTGTGAGTGTATTTTGTATAAGAGCGTCTCTTTCTGCGAGTGCGTCTGCAAAGAATTCAGGTTGTGTACGCACTATACAGAGACGATCAACATATCTATCTTCCCTCCGTATGTGTGTCTTCTTTCTCTCTGCCTCTCTACCTTGTGAGCATTTTGCATGAGCCAGATCAGCTACTGGTGCTTTTCCTCTCTCCGTTTCACCTTCTGTAATCACCCCTCTTCATGTTCTCCTTATCTATTCTCTCTCTCTCTGATCAGTGTTTTCTCTTATCCCCTTCTTTTTCAGCTTCTTTCCACTCTATTCTCCTCGGCCTATTCTATCTATTGCTCTCTTTTTTACCACACTGTCTGTAAACTCTGAAGCTTTAAGTCACTCCAAATCCTCAAACTCTTACTTCAGTGTGTGAAATAATACAGATGAGAAAACAGACAAGTAGTCAAAGAAAAATGCATAATTAAAAACAGCGAGGTTAGCACACAGTTTGTGACCAAATCCAATACACACAGATACACACACCAACATAATACTAAGGATACAGTCTTTGTGAAGGACAAAGGCCTCGGCAATCTGCAGAGAGAGAGAGAGACATTACATCTTTAATAAAGTGCATGCTCTAAAATCTTTTTTTTCATGATTTTGTCAAATCAGTTATGTCACAGACGCTATCAGGAAAACAAGGTTGTCAAACCAGACTGAAACTATTCCTCAGGTAGAGTGATTCTTGACTCAGACACAAGATAAAACCAAAATCTGATTTGCCAAAGTACAAGACAACAGGTAGAAAAAACACCAATATAGAGCATAGAAACACCGCACTAACACAGCAATAACTGTCCCTAGCATTTAGGAGACAGAGTGAGAGTGAAAAGCAAGACACGTAGCAAGATACAAAAAAACGAGAGACTAAGACACTCTACCTCTCCTCAGCAAGTGTCGCTTTCATGCTGCTCAGCTGATCTCAGAACAAGAGAAGTGTGTGTGAGAGAGAGAGAGAGAGAGAGTGCGAGAGAGAGAGAGAGAGTGCAAGAGAGAGAGAGTGCAAGAGAGAGAGAGAGAGAGAGAGAGAGAGAGAGAGAGAGAGCAAGAGAGCGAGAGAGAGAGCAAGAGAGCGAGAGAGAGAGCAAGCAAGAGAGAGAGAGCGAGCAAGAGAGAGCGAGAGTGAGCAAGAGAGAGCGAGCAAGAGAGAGAGAGAGGAGGAGTAGAGTAGGGAAGGAGGGCACAAAAGGCTCTTGCATTTCTAATGAAGAGAGGGGCGGTGACGACTGAATGACCTCTATAGGTAACTCTACTGACGCGGCTCAGAAACAAAGTTGGAAAGAGTTTAGAATTTGTCCTCATTCGTCCCAACAATGAGACTTCATATTGAGAGGAAATCGACAACCTTGCAGCGGTGCTCAGAGAACAATCTACTGCTCAGTGTCAGTAAATATACCAAGGAGCTGATTGTTGATTTTAGAAAAAAGGTGGCGAAGACGCAAACCCCTGTCTACATTAATAGAGTTGAGGTGGAGCAAGTTAGCAGCTTTAAGTTCCTAAGAATCAGCATCACAAACAATCTGACATGGTCATCACACATCTCCATCCTGGTGAAGAAAGCTCATAAACGGCTGTATTTCTTACTTAAGAAGGCAAAATCGTGCCAAGTTCTTGTACATTACAAACTGGTATGGGGTGTGTACAGCACAGGACAGGAAGGCTCTACAGCGGGTGATTAAAACCGCCCAGAACATCATTAGCAACCGTCTACTGAGCATCGGTGAGGAGCCTGCGAAGAGCTAAGGAGATATTAAAAGACAATAACCACCCCAGCCACAACCTGTTCACCATGCTGCCCTCTGGAAAGAGATACTGAAGTATCACACTTCAAAACAGCTTCTTTCCTCTGGCTGCGAGACTCCTAAATGTATCCTCCACCCACCTAATAGAATATATATGTTATTGTTGTTTGTCTTCTTTCCTATGTAGCAAATTGTGATTAGAATCTAAATTTCGTTGTGCAACCCTGTCGTACAATGACAAATAAAAACCATGATAAAGCTCCCACATCGAAAAGAAGGACAGTCAGATTTTAAGATTCAAGATTGAAAAAAACAGCAGCATGCACAAATCTGTTCATCATCAGAGGTGATGTGTGCGTGGAACCCAACTGCTGTTTATATAATTCACTTACTGTAATCAATTAGTCCGCTTTCAGTGTAAACTTTTGGTCTTTTCATTCATGACAACATATGGGAAAAAAAAATTAAAACTACTGTCGTTTGATTTTTGTTATTTTACTCTCCACATTGATTTCATACGGTCTATTTTATGCCTTTTAAAAATTTAGAAATGCACTAAATGCTGCGGCTTACTAGCCTATTTACAGTTCTGATGTTACAGGACGATGCATCTTAAGGCTATGGACAAATTATAATCTGAACAAAAGTAAGCTATATTTCATGTACAGTACCATAGTGTATTTGAATTATACACAGTACAGGGATTTAATTTGAGGCGGAATTAAAGAAAAATAAATGGTTATAATAGTGCTTAGTTTGATACAGGCATATGAGATCACTGAAAGAGATTTCCACTGTAATTGCTTAGATTAGACCTGTTGTCGACCTACGTACTCTTTTTCTATAAAGAAGTGAAAAGTACATTTTCCTTAAAAAGCTAAAAGGACTCATTTTATTTTCATTTTGTGAAGAGACAAAAAAAAAAAAAGAAAGAAGCACATGTGTGTGTGTGTGGAGAAATTGCCTCTCATATACACACACACAACCCGTTTGCTTGTAAGAAAGCATAGCTCAGGTGTGCCTGGTGGAAGCATTTGTAAATCAAACTGACAGAAATATTCACACACCCTATAACATACATGTCCAGTCACGCAGGTCTGTGTGTGAGAGGGGAAGACTGAGAGTGTATGTTTTTTTATGTAGTGTGGATGTAGCTCATGTGTGCAGGAATGTGCTTATGTATAGACGCTGAAGTCACCCATGCCTTAGGGTACAAAGTGTCATTCCGATTATTGGGTTGAGTGGATAACAGTGATTTAATAACTAGTGTGAGAGCAAAATATAGAGACTAAAATGACAGAAAGAAAAATAAATACAAAAAGAAACCGTTAAAGAGTGAAGTAATTGTTAAGGTGAGTGACTGCCAGGATTGGTGGTGATACACAGCTTGTAGTATCTGACATACTATGCCAGAAGTAAGACAAGAAGAGTTACCTGGTGAAGGTACTGTGGAAGGTGAGTGTCATCTCCTCTTTGTGCCAACTCCTCCAGAGACTCCAGCAGGGCGGGGCTTGGAAGAGGCCCTGCGGCACAGGTGGAGACTGAAAAACAAGTGGGCACTGGAGTGGAGGTAATGTGTTCCAAAATCGAGGTTATAGGTACTGTGGTGGTAGTGGATTCTGTACCAGTAGTCGTGGGCCCTGGGGTGTTTGCTGTTGCACTCATAGGAGTGGAAGCAATGGAAGTGTTGAGCGTCGCGGTGCAAGCAGGCCCTGTAAATGTCTCTGCTGTTGAGGGAAACCCTCTTGCGCATGTGGGCCCATAGTTGAAGACAGAGTCTGTGGATGAGGTAAGATGTCCTGCAGTGAAGTCAGTATTTTTTGCTATCTTGTCTGTGGCTTCTGTGATACCTGTAGGCCCAGTAGTAGAATCTATAGGCCCTGTGGTGAAGGTGGGTCCCTGTGTAACGGAACCTGTGTTGGAGGCAACTAAGTCAGTGTTATGAGAGTCCACTTTGACATCAATCGGGCTCACTTCCACTTGACTGGCGGGATATGCAGTGTCTGGACTGACCACTGGAATGACAGGGGATGTGGGCTCTGGACTGGTCCCAGGGCTGAAAGGATACGGAGTCTCCAACAGACTGCCTACAGAGGATAAGAAAGACAACGCCAAACAGAGAGAAGAAAGAAAGAATAACTATGACACAGTGAACGTGCTGAAACAGCATGAATCCAAAACAGCATGAATCCAAAACAGCTGTCTAAAGCTCCTGACGACACAGGTGTGTGAGGGACTGTTACAATACAATACTGATGGTTATATTTGAGAAAACATTCAGAAGATTAAGTTGAATTAATAAATACAGTATGAAATGCAGCCAAACTAGCCAAAAGGTAATTTTTCATCTGTAGTCCCCATCAGAGCAACAACAAAAACAGGACATGCCATCTCAAAGTTTGAAAAGGACACAAAAAAAAGTAGTAGTGACATAAATACATACAGAATTAAACTGCAAAAAAGCAGGATTTTAATGTTTAGTTGTCTGATGAACCTCTGACAGACCAGGCTGACTAGCTAAAGGCACTCTTCGGTAACACAATAGTGCGATCTTCTCTTATAGACCCCCAGGTGACAGGATTAGTGTTGGTTCTTCTGTGTGTATAAGCTAAGTGTCACCGAAGCTAAGGTATGGATGACTTTATCCATCTCAACTTAAAAGCTGATATTTTTTTAGAACTTGGCAGTGAGTGCTTTGATTTTTTTATCTAGTGTTTTAGTGCTTGTTTGTATAGTGATTCGAGTGGTTAGCTAATACTAAACTAAGCTAAGCCAATACCTTTCTTTTGATGGAATAGAGCTCTAGAAACCACAGAGCGCAACCGAGTAAAGTTTCACAATCTTTGTGCAATTAAATGAATACTCTCTGTAAGTGACTGGGGATGGTAAAATGAAGGACGTCGACATCGGTCAGTATTTATTGCATAACAAGCGTATCCTTCACGTCACCTGGTTCACTCGACCAGCTCAGGCTTTGTGCCTGTTTTTGTCGATGTACGTGTGTGTGTGTGTGTGTGTGTGTGTGTGTGTGTACTTGGAGGAGCTCAGCTCGACAGAGAAGGTAGAGCAGATGCGAGCTGTAGCGTGATAATAAATTACACCAAAACATGAAAAAGTACAAATAACATAATAACCAGTAACATTGGTGCTTATCAATACTAAGATCTTTAATTATTTAGCAAAGTGGCCTGTTTAATACCGGATTTTGGAACGTTACCTTCAGATAACGTAAAATGCGAAAGGCTCTCGCTAGAGTCATTGTCCTCTCTGGGCTGCCGTAGAAACATGGCGGACTGAGCTTCAGGTGATTATAAACCGATTAAAACATAGTTATGAATATTATATTCAATACCTGCCAATAAATCCCCGTAAATGTTACACACTGTTCCTTTAAGCAAAAACTAAAAAAAATGTAAATGTGTGACTACAACTATCACATTTGTAAGTTTAACATGTTTTTGGCTGTAGTGTTGGAATTGGATGTTCATTATCATAAATCTGGCCTAACTTCTGTTACGGTGTGTGTTTTCTGTCCTCTACTAGATTATTCTTTACACCGACAATGAATCTACGTGTTATATGAAAGGGGTCGCTCCCAATGACAATCCTTGAAAATGATTGTGCAACTCTGCTCTGTGCATCTGTTAGCTTGTTGTGGTCTTCTGCTGCCCCCAAATGGCCATCAACAGTTGTGTGTGTGAAAGTGTATGTCTTTCATGCATGTATGTTCCCGACCTGTCTCTGAATAGGAGGAATCAGTCATTGGAGTGTCGGGAGACTGGCAGCGAATTAGACAGCTTGATTCTTCTGATTCTTCCTCCTCTTCGTCTCCCTTCATCACCTCATCAATGTCTTCTTCTTCTTCTTCATCCTCCTCTCCGCCTCTTCCTGTGTATCCCTCCTTTCCGTGCTCCTCCTCCTCCTTCCCATTGTTGTTGACAGAGGTTTTTTGGATGAGCCCTCCTCCCTCTTCCTTGTGTGGAGGAGCGAGGCTTTGAGTCTGTGCGAGCGCGTTAGTCTCGTTGAGATTTCGTGTTTGGGCAGCGAGAGTGTCAGGATTGGGAAGGTTATCACAGAGGTTGGCCCCGCCCACCTGAACCTGTGACATTGCTCTGTCCTCCCTCTCAAGCTGACCTGGAGATAAAATAAAGAATCAGGTGAAATGTCAATTGGTGTACTTAAACATGTTGAGCCTATACATTGTGTTATTTAAAACACTCACCACCATGATCCATCTGGCACCCCCCTCACAACGGTTGAGCTCTGAGCATGAGGGTCTGCGCCGGCTACTAAACAAGCCCGTCTTCAAGCCTGCAGAGATAAAGAGAATGAGACAAAAGACAGGAACATTTCAATGACGGAAAGTATGAGAAAGACAGAGGAAGTCAATCTACACTCAGAGGAACGGGAGAGAGTGAAAGGGAGGGACACAAAACAAGTTTAGCAAGTTTAGTTGTATAAATGTAGCAGTCCTACCAACTCCATGTAGTATAATACTACAAATGTATTGATCACTAACACTTCAGATACAAACCTGACAATGCATTATATAGAAAACAACTGAAAACTCTGTACAAGTTCTGAACCTTTAAGACGCCACTGTACGGTGTGGCTGAAAGAGATGACATTTGTTAATATTAGTTTTCCTCCCCATCTACAGCAAAGTAGTGTCCTGCAACTTATCTGTGAAGAACAATACCAGTCAGCATCTATTTGCTCACAAGAATAAATCTCGAAGGGACATTTAAATGTCAAATTGTTAGGATTTAAGTTTCCATAATCTTCTTAAAACAATTAAGTTTTTCAATACAAAAACCTTTTACAGACCCCCTAAACATTGAACACAGAGAGCAAGATAGTGAGAGGAAAGGAGAGAGAGAGAGAGAGAGAGAGAGAGAGAGAGAGAGAGAGAGAAATAACTATGATATGGGAAGAGCAAGAACAGTGACAATGTACAATGTGAACCAAGAATACAGAAGAACTGGTAAATACCAAAGGGAGACAAGTGGTAAAGTTATGAGATGCAATAAACTATATTGTCCATTTCTATTTACATATAGTAGGAAGACAGAATACTATGAACTACGATAGGAATGAGTCCTAAACCCTGAAGATGAATTAGCCTGATCCAGCGGTTGTTTCTTTGTTTCAAAGTCAATGGGTTTCTGGCTGGATGCCTAAAATAAGGTCCGTGGTTCACATAAACTGAAGAGATTTTAATGTTTTGCTCTCCTAAAGAAAATACGTCAGCAAATGATCCCACAAGTCTTAAAAAAGGCGATTGCTAACAAGGACATAGGACTGCTAAACATTATTACTACAAACACTAGTGCTGCTTTAGCTCAGTGGGGGTGACGTGAAGTCACGCGACCGTGGTCTAGTTTGTTTCTAGCCTAACGTTATATTTTTACTTCTAGGGTTTGCATTTAAAGTTCAAACTTAATAAAATTTGTGTTAATTTGTAGAGATGATCTCGCTGAACAAAACATTTAAGCATCATGAACCTGTGTTTGCCACAGATCTTATTCTGTGCACTAATCCAAAAGCCAATGGAAAGATTCCATGGGCTTTCTGTTGAGGTAACCAGTGCGATGCTATCTTCTGGGAAGGCCTATAAAAATGCATCATCCCTGCAGCACTCTATAAAGTGCAATGCAGAACAACAACTTTACAAGCTACGGCCTCAGAAATGCTTATAGGTCAAATCAACATTTTTCCTGACACAGTGAAAAGTATAAGATTCTCAAAGATAGGATTTATTGCAGGGCGGTTCCAATGGGTTGCAGGAGGTTGTCAAACTGGTAAATCAGCGTACAGCACAAATCAGTATTGTGCAATAGCATGCTTCTTTTTTTTTTTAAACTTTACTGCCTTACTTATGTTCACAGTTAAGTCAGCAAGAAATTTAACAGAAAAACAGATTCAACCTCTGGATACCTAGACTGCCCAATACATACAACCTGTGTTCAGGTCAGTGAGACAACCATTAACAGCACGCACTGTATAACTAGTAGACCATCAATTTGAGATTTCTAGACTTTCACATACACATGAAGCAGTTTATTTTTATGTTTTCAAATGAAAAACAAAAATATACTAACAGACCTATAATACACACACAGATGCCTGTGTCATTGCACTGACCGTGTCCCCTATCCCTGGTTACAATATGCATGACCGGATCCATGGCCAACACTCCTTCACACATCCAACTGTTTTACTAACGTTGGTGATATTTTGACTCCAAAACCTCCACAAATACCCACATCCATTCCAGGCTAATGAAAGCCTATCTCAGAGGAATATCGCTGTCCTGGTTTCCCGCAGCACTAAGCTAATTGTTCTTCCTGTAAGCCTGTATTTCCCTCTGTAACACTCAACCAAAACATCTACAAAGGACAAACTCAACGAGCACAACTCTGATTACCTGTGTGCACATTATTATTAATACTCTTAGGGACAATCAGCACTGAGGACTGCTATCTCCAGAGGGAGGAGAGAACCTATGGGATGACATAATCATAGGCTTTGAGATACTAATGGAAGTATTGTATGAGAGGCTGTCTTGCAGTCTTCTTACTCCAAGCTCTTAATGTCCCTCTGGAGGGTAAAATGGCCCCAGCCTGTGACAAACAACTGTGACATCGAGACTTATGCAACGACGACCTGCAGTTTACACATATGGCTGTTACTGTACCGGTCATCTTTCTAATGCTTTGTGAGATGTATCTTTTTGTTTACAGTACAGTTTCCCTGAATGTCTCGCTCCCTCAGAGCCATCTGTCCATCCGACCATCCATCCTCTCCTCTTTATGTCTGCACCCTGCTCCACAGGGGACCATGAATAATGAAAGACAGAAGAAGGGACAGAGTGGGACTTTAGCCATAAGGACAAACACAATGTGGAGGAAACAGATCCTGTCCTGTGAGAGGCCACTACAGACACTTGAGACAGCGAGCAGAGCTAAAAAAAACAACGTGACATCAACTGCCACTAATTGTCTTATGTTTTAACGTTAAGACGTTTTACAAATAAGCTAAACAAACTAAAAAAATCCAGCAAGTTAGCAAATGAGACGTAAAATATATGCAGTAAATTGCACCCAATTGCCATTCAAAGAGGTGGGGCATTGTTGTTGTTGGCCAAGTTACCAGTTTAGGCCAGCAATTAAGTCTCTAACGTTAGCTGTAGCTAACCAGTTCACGTGTAATGTTAGTGACTAACCGGTTCAGGAACAAACGGTTTGTCTCAACATTATCCCCATGTTTATTTAGCGTTAACGATAGATGAAGATCCAATGTTAAAACGCAGACAAGTGACAGCAATTGCAACCATGACACAGATTCCGTAAACTGGTTACTAGCTAGCTAACGTTAACTTTAATCAACCTATGCTTGGTAAACAAGCTAGAATTTAAACGTTACGTTAATAGTAAAATGCTTTACGTTACAGGAGATTAGCTCGGTCGCTATCGTTAAGGCTCACGCGTAGTGTTGATTTCACGCTTTTGACAGGCTTGAACTGCTTCATCAAATTGAAAACGTTTGATTAGCAACAGCCGAAGTTGATGCCTATCCATTCATAACTAAACAGCGATACATAACGCTACGGCGACAGATCAGTTGCTGCTAGCTAACTGACGTCAGCTAGCCGAGCAATGCAGACACACATCCGTCCACAAGACCTTTAAAATACAACGTTACACCTCAGCTTGCTTTAGGTAAATGCGATAGCTTTCGAATCATTAGCAAAAAACCTAAACAACTTTTGAGACACAAAACAGTAAAGCGGTACTTACGGCTGAACAGGCTGGTTGAATTGTAAAGGATCGCGCATCACCAGCTGCTGTGATGTTAATGAATGTAGGTGTTACCGACTGTCAGGGGTCGTTGCTGTCATCAGGCCTGCATCGGTGCTGTTGGTAGACACAAGGTGCACAGTTGCCATCTTATGTTCCTATACTGTCAGTACGTACGTGGACAGGCAGGAATATGTATTCACAATACTGTGGAATATTCAAGCTAGTGTTTTCTAAAAGCTCCAGGCCATAAAATACTGTGTGGAGAATGAAAGTTCCAAAAACAGAAATATGATTAACCCATTTAATCACCATGTGTTCACCTTGTGCAACCAGGAAAGAAGAGTAATAGATTCAATATAAGAGCATTGAAGGTTCAAGCACTTACTAAAACAGGGCTGATACCATGTACTCCCACACACACACACTATATATCAAAATTATGATTTAATGTTTTTCTTACAAATCATATTGCACACAGTTTACACAGTCCGTAAGACATGACATTTCAGACATTGAAATCGTATGAACACATGAGGGATATAAATAAATACAAAGACTTGCTTCCACCTTCTTCCTGCACTGTTATTACAGGTTTGGAAAAGTATGCAAAACAAGATACATGTGTTGTGACACTGCTGCCACTCCACTGCATCAACAAAACTGCAGTTGCATACTTCATTCGATAATATGCACATTTCTGAATTAAAATATCATTTGCATGACCTGGTGCACCCATGAGGCTGTTTTTTCCCCAGCCCCCTTGAACATGCAGACCTTTATTCTGCAACTTTTTTTTTTAATCACTGCTGCATCCATTTCATGAACATTTCACTTGTTACTACTTTTTTCTGTTCTTGTATGCATGTATGCACAAATGTATGTATCTTCTGTGCGCCTGTTTTAATACATTACACATTCTTTTTTTATATTGCATCATCACTATATTATACATATACAACTCATATATATTGTATTCAATTTGTATAAAACAATAGTAAGACCTGTGTGTCCATCATCAGCCCCAACCCTCCCTCTGTGTGTTCTCCAAAATCTCTTCATAAAGCCAGCTCTGTGTGAACTCCTGACTCTTGTCCATCAGCTGGAACAGTCGAAGATACTCCTCTGGATATACATGACCCGTCAGTATGTCCTCCGGCATGCCCATCTCCGATAGCAGCTTACTCCCACTATCTGGAGACCACAGACTAGGAACAGACAGAAGAGAGGGAGAATGAGCAAGAGGAAAATAAGGTTGGAAGACGTGTCGACTGGAACAGCCTATGATACTATTATAGTATGGATGCACTTAGTACAGACGCACCAAGAGCAGCTCTTTGATGCGACATGTACAATGTGTTGACTACAGGCCTGTCTCAATAGCTTTGTACGCATGTATTGCTTACTTGAGCCGGTCCATGAGCTTGACCTTCCTCTTTGCCAGACACTGTTTGACCATCATCAGCAGAGTTGAAGCATTAGACGGAGTGAGGCCTGCAGAGAACAGATCAGCCCGCGGACGCAGACGCACCAGGCACAAGTGGTCATTGGGAAGCTGAGGGGAGGCAGAGGGGAGAGGTTTTATTAAAACGGACAATAACAATCACTTTACACTTACACTGTTTACTTTGCTATTGAGGTTGCTCTCTTCCTAACCGTGCCCTTGGAGCTTGGTACTCTCTGTTTTGAAGACCTCACAAATGACTCCCAGGGCTCCTGCACAGACAGAAATGAGGAGGTTGACCACTAGAACACTCTTTCTATCACATTCACCCTCTTTATGTTGAAAATGTGTACAAACATGAACGCTTTGGTAGCATAAAACAAAACACTGCAACATGCTTCTTTTTTTTTTTTTTTTTTTTTTTTTAACTTTAAAATGCTTTTTTTGTTGTTACTGTAAACAGCTGTTTAAAAGTCAACATACTGGTTTCATTACATTAGCATAATGACACAAATGTATTGTATTTGTCACCCTCTCTCATACTGTACCTTGTGCAGTAGTTCGATATCACAGGCCATCTGCCAGAGGACACTGAAGGCTCTGTAGTGCATCATTTCACCCGGACGTGACACCAGTTTCTGATGGAGACATAACTGCGTTACATATTTTACACAAGGATCAAAGAACGACACATAATCAGATTATCATTTAAGTAACCAGACAACTGTTTCCCTCAGCTTTAAGTAGTGATTGTGTTGTCAGCAGCAATATGACTATTTTCAGTACAGATAAATAAAACTGATGATATAAGTGCAGCAGTATCTAAGACTGTGGTTACACTCGTCTTTTCAATGCGACCTTTGTATCCCATTGATCAGGCAGGTTGCATTGTGGACACACAGATGCAGACACAGCTGAATTCTGATCCGACGCATCTGATCACAAAAGTCGCATTAAAAAGACAAGTGTAACCACAGCCTCAGCATAGATCTGAGTTGGTTTAAAGCTGCCCAAAATGAAAACAAGAGGCATTAGCATGGATGTAACCATCCTCATCCTCATGACAACAAAACACACACACAAAGTTAGACTCTTTGATCAAACTGGTTCTCATTTCTACATATACAGAGCTTATAATGTTCTTGTACCAGGTATTCCTTCTCGCTTATGAAGAGGTTGAGCTCTATTCTTCCGTATCTGTAGACAGACAGTCGTTCAAACAAAGCGTAAACCATCTTCAGCAGCATTCCACGCTCATTACGCAGAGGCAGGATACCCACTACCCTCACCGGGATGTCTAGAAAGACACATGCATGAACACATTACCGATGAAGATCAGTGTACATTCAGTTACGTGTGTTATTGTGTAAAAGGTACATACCAAGTCATTACAATGATGAAATGTGATTTATTATTCTAAACATATTCATCTAAATGTTTGATACCTGTGAGCCACTGAATGTGGATCTTAATGTAGGTAAATAGTTATAGGTATATATGTTTATGATGAGGCATTTCTAAGCTTCAGGATTATACTGACTGTATGAAGGAGGTGGGATTTGTTTGCAGCCAGAGGCTCAACAAGAGGAAACCTCTTTGTGTGTATGCATTTGTGAGAGATTGAAGTTGCAACACAGTGGTGTCTTAGTTTGTTTTTCTCTCACCATCAGTCCAGTTAGCTTCTGATATTCCCAGGTCAGTGAAGAGTTTGTCCGTGAACATCACAGGGGGTTTAAGGTTTCCACTGCCAATGGGGTCTAGTTTGAAATAGTCACAGTGAACCACTTCCAGCTGACCATCAAGACGACCTTCCAACTCCTACAACATGAAAACATCATGTATTTGACTAACTGCTACATAAAAGGAAAATTAATGAATTAACAAATAAAATCTGATAATTAAAATGAGAATAGAACTCAGCGTAAAGATAAAAAACGTCGTTAGATGCAGAGAGATGTTTGTGTTACCTGTAGATCATGTAGGAAGAACCTATCCCCTTCAAGAGCCACAACTCTCTGAGCACCAGCACTCAGCAGTGTCCTTGTCAACACCCCCAGACCTAAGAAATCAATTAATTGTAGTTTCACACACAAGACTAATAAAATGTGCTTATGACTTATAAATGCACATATTTTATATGAGCATTTATATTTTAGTTTGTCAATGTTCATACCAAATAAGATTGAAGTTACACACCAAACATGAATTCATTAAGTTTTCCTCTGTGTTTCACATTTAAAGATTACACAAATATATACCTGGGTTACAGTCGAAGATAACACTTTTAGCATCCACAGATCCGAGATGCTGTGTGACCAATTCAGCCAGGTCTGGGTCCACTATGAAGTGTCTAATTTTTTTACAGGCCTGAGCACGGCGTACATTCTCCTCTACCTCACCAAGGTCCAGGAAGTCGTACCGGCACAGAGGACGACATTGGCCCTGGAGAAAGACAGAAACGCACTTAGAGAGTGAAAACAATTGATATCATATGTGGAAAAAGCTCAGTGTGTCAGAAACCACTGTCAATCGTTTCCTTTATTATCTTTTTCAGTTTACTGCACAAACTCAAGATTTTTATCAATACTTGGCTGAGTAGATGTATGTGTTGTGTGCCTCAACAATAAAGGAAACACACCTGTATAAAACAGAATATCAGACCATGGAGATGAAAAGAAAGTGGATGATCAAAGACGAATGCCTACCTGTACAGCTACAGCAGACAGGTTCCGGTGTGTGAGTGCTGAGGAGAGGGACGTCCTCTCTGCACGGGGCTGTTGGGAGGTTGGACCCAGTGTGGGCCGACCAGGACCCGAAGAGAGAGAATCCAGGCTGTAGGCCCTTCTATGAAGCATAGGAGCCCCAGGGACACAAAGGCCATAATGACCCACAGGGGCCAACACTGCTTTGTGCAAACAGGACCTACTTCTGATGGTCTGGTAGCAAGCAGAGCGCATCATCAGGTCTACCACCCTACAGATCTGGGTAGACATGGTGGACCAGTGGACCTGTAACTACAGAGGAGAGGGGGAGGAAGGTCGGGGGACCCCTTCAAGAGGCCATTGCCTAGAGGGAATGGGGAGGTAAAGGGACCAATGATGTTAAGGTGAATAGCAGGCATTGAAGTGACACCAACATAGAATACTAAATTATAAATGACAGGCTTTAAATGTTTTATGTGATTAAGTTAATATCGTAATACAAAAACACGCGTATGCCAAACTGTGTATAATGTGCTCTACTGGCACGTGGGAAGGTAAACTTGATGGCTTAAATCTATCGGCCTAACTGGAGAAGCGTTCCCGGTCCTAAATCCTGTATATTCACAAGTTCGCCAAGAGGTACAAAATAACCTCGCAGACAATCTGTTAAGGGGAGGCGTTGAGCAGTTTCATGATACTGACAATATATAAGTTGTTAGCCGACTGGCTAGCCGTACGCTTACAACTAAAACGTTTTAATTTCGTACAGACATACCTTATCGAAGATGATCTTATATTTATCAAAATATAACCACATTGGTGACATACAAGTGGCTATTGTCTGCCTGTTTGCTGGTAAAACTCCGTGACATTGAGTAGCCGACCCCCGTCAGTTGTTGGTGCAACTCTCGTGGTGCTGCAGGCGCATGTGATTGTCGTCATTGACAGGCGACTTCAACTAAGGCCAATGAGAAAACCCAGGTAGAAAATCCAGGAAGTTGTCATACTAACATACGAATGTAAAAAATAAATAAAGCACAACTAACTTATAGCATTACTAGAAGTACATAAATTGTTGGGAAAAACACTTAACGCAACACACTTTCTTTATATGCAACTGTTTCGGTAGCAAAAAAAAAGTACCGCTGTTGTTAATGTCTGTTAGCATATTAGCATAATGTTGCTACGGAAGTAGAAAACAGCGCTGTCAAAACTGCAGCACGCAGTCGTACTCTCTCCAGTCAGTCTCTGTGAGAGGTGAAGGTACCGTCGCAGTGAGATCCTCCAGCCTGTTAGCTGTCACTATGGCGCGTGTTGAGACATCATCCAACAGGCCCTACCACCTGGTTATCTTCGGAGCCTCTGGGTTCACGGGGCAGTTTGTGGTGGAGGAGGTGGCACGTACTGTGTCCGAGGGTCCGAAAGGGAACCTGAAGTGGGCCGTGGCAGGCCGGAGCAAGCAGAAGCTGGAAAAAGTTCTGGAGCAGGCCGCCGGAGTACTCAGTATGTATTTAAACGATCACATTTGTTGTGTACGTTGAAGCAGATTGTTTCTAGAACTGACGGTCCTGCAACAGAGATAGCGTCTCAATTATTCTGTTCAACGTATGTCCTATGTAAGGATGTTGTATTTGGTGGGACTGCGCCTTTTATCTGATATTTCAAGTACTTTTGTGTTTCTAAAGTAACGGGTAATTGCTTAACTCCGGACGACTAATTTGTCTAAGGTGGGCTCGCTGATAGTGATACGTTTAACATGAGGTACAAAGTACAAGCGAGGCTGCGACAAAAAGTAACCTTTTTATTTACACAATTTTTTATTAAGGATCGAAATTGAGTCATTGAAGTAATTTGGTTGATTGATATATCTATTTTAAGCCTAAAAATGCCAACAAAGCACATCTCAATTATCCTATTGGGGTACATTTTGATGTCTTTGCGTGGTTTTCTGTTTGACCTAGTCTATTTATTCAGTTTACAAAAACAGGAAATTCTCCCTTTTTGAAAAGCTGTATCCAGCAAACATTTTGCCTTTCGCTTTATAAATAACTTTAATGATTGATTGATCAATTTTGAAAATGCGTAGCTATTCACTTTCTGTTGATTAACTAATCGACTAATTGGTGAGTAATTTTAGCTCTAAAAACAGAAATATTATTCACCTCATTGCGATTAATTTGTGGACTGTGTAACAAATATTTAGGGAACATATTTAGTATGCCAGTAGTTTTCCAGTTTGATCATTTGTATCCACGCAACACTCTAAACATGGAAAATAAAGTCTGTCACTAGATCAACACCGGAGAGCTATTCTGCTGTCATGATAGGAATGTGAGTTTCCAGAGGATTAGAAAGTTATTCTGTTGTCTCCTCGGGGAGTGCACAACAGCTGATGGAACAAACCTGTCACTGTACACTCCCCTTCCATGACAGCACACACAGCCCGACAAGCCTTTCAGTTAACACTGAAAACTGCAGTTTCTCTGTTTAAACCGAAATTTGCCTTTTCTCCCAAAGAGTTACAGTGGCACATTTTAAAACAGCTTATATGGTTTTAACAACTCCTTTCTGTTTTAGGCCACTTATGTTTGGCAAATACAGTACAATTGAAATGTTACTGGTTTGAAATACTTAACGACACATTTCATCCAACACAGACATTATTCCTCCATTATTTTACTCATTTTCACACCTGGGAATCATGAATGTTTTTGTTTATCAGGGCTATGATAGAAACAGAATTTTATAGCAAACATTTGGTTCTAAATATGCTATCGCACTTAAGAGCCTATCCTTACAAAGTGCGTGTGTGCGTGTGTGTCTGCAGGTAAGCCCGAGCTCAGGTCAGAGGTGGACATTATCGTGGCAGATGTCGAGGAACCAGACTCCCTGGCAGCCATGTGCAAACAGGCTGTAATTGTTCTGAACTGTGTGGGGCCTGTAAGTAGACGCCTGGGATTGTTCTTCTTCAGCACACAGAACCTGCTCCGTCACATGACACAAACTTTTATTTATTTATTTATTTTTTTTCTCACATCATCTCACAACATTGGCATGTTGGCATCTCCCATCTCCTCAACATAGCTCTGTTTCTCACTCTCACTCTCTCTCTCACACACACACACACACACAGACACAGACAGAGCAGCCTTCATTTACACAATGAGGGCTACTGATTTACAGGACACAATAAGTCGTATTGTATTAAAGTCAGAAGGAAAAGAGGTTTTCCAGAACAGGGTCTTGTTCTTCCACTGCAGTAACCACCACTGTTTCTCACAGCAGCACTTTGCCAGCTTGGTTAAAACTGAGGCACAAAGTTTAAGTCAAAAAGAGTTGTTGTTCAGTGTGAGTGTTTTATGTTGACAATACAAAGCCATGTATGTAAAAAATGTGATGAATCTATTACCAGGATGAAAAAGACCACACAGTATTCTGTAAACCACACCTCTTCCATAATAGTCTCAGGAACAAGGATGGTCAAATAGGGAGACTGTACCTTGCTCTGCAAGTCGGTCTGTGTAGTAATACTTGAGTCAGCCGTGTACCAACAGTCAACCAAAGGAAGATTACTGTTAAAGAACACAAACAGAAAGCCGACTCATAGGAATCGCATATCTCTGATATGAAAGGCAAGAAACTGATTTTGACCATTCTATGACGTGGTTACCCAAGACATTGTAGATAAAAGCTGAGATTGAGAAACCTTTCTTTAAGTTCTTGGTATGTTAGTGTCACTGCATGCATGCTATACAAATTGCTTCTCTGATACCAGATATGTGCTGCATAAACATATAATCCATTAAGTCAACGTAGGCTGATCAACTTTTGCAGGTTTTCTTCATCAGAAATAAGTGTCTTCCTCTGTATGTGAGGAGACGTGTTCATCTACAAGCTCTCCAGACCAACATGAACTGTAGTTGATCGATCATCAACCAAAGGACGAAAAAGTGGACCAGTGCATTGATCCGTTTGTGTGTGTGTGTGTGTGTGTGTGTGTGTGTGTGTGTGTGTGTGTGT